ACGAAAAAAAAAATGGTGGACAATTTGAATCATATTTCTGACAACGAAGAGTCGAATGGCTGGCAAATATCGATACAAGTCTATTGGATAAATCGAACGAAGAAACACAACAAGGCAACCATCTGATTGCATCATTTACTGAAGAAAATAGAAACAGCAACACGACAACGCGCCAATTCCGTTCCGCCTCGCATACTTCTATAACGCGCTCCTCGTAAATAAATATCCGCGAAATTCGCCCGCACTGAAATAACAATTTGGCGTGTATTTGTATTTTGACTCGCCCTATGGGCTCGTCAAAATACGGCATAACTCGTAAAAGTACTCAGCGATACTACACAACAAAACGTCCAATAAGATATATATATGTATTTCCCAGTTCAAAAGAAAGATGCTCCTCAAATTTTGTTAGAATAAAAAAACCTAAGATGAAACTGATTTGAATTTTGGTGCATGATCGGAACGAGTTCATGACACTTCTCAAAGGAACACCCGACAAAGAGTGCTTTAATTGCGACTGGATTAACTGGATTCAAGGCGAACCTGACACTCCTCCCTAGCATTCCCAGAAAAATTTTATCATGGCTATCGTTTTATAATCGGTACGTAGTCGCCAGTGTGACTTCCGACAGAAGTCTGAATAAATTTCTGAGAAATACCGATAAGACTTCAAGAATACTTACATTTGACGATTTATCAGTAAAGGATATCCGCAAATTCAGAGTTCTGAACACCGGGTTTTTAATTTAAGAAGCTTGTCCGTTAAACGTTTAGTGGTAAAATTATTACCGTACGGCCTTTGTCCCAAATAAATTTTGAATTATTGAAGATGCTAAGTATCATTTCAAAGTTTATTTGCCATTACTGGTGGGTATTGTGATTTCAACCATCTCCAACGCGGTTGTACAAACACAGCTTCCTCGACTTCATTCAAAGTCTTTCTTCTATGGACTGCGTAGTTTTCTTTATTTACTGTGATTGTTTCGCTATCACACCTCAGATAGTAAAGTAATTCCGAAGACGCTTGAATGAATAAAGTTCCCCGTGTACGGAAAATGAAGCGTTTTAATTCTTTGAGTCGAGCAATTTTAAACCAACATTTGCAAATTTATAACCGGACGTCAGTTGCTCATAATAAACCAACACAGCGGTTCATGACGAGAACACGAAAGCACGGCGACTCGGGGAAGGAGCAAGAGACAACGACAGTTTGTTGCGTGCCGCGAAAGATGGCCGTTATCTTTGATTTAAATGGAAGCGAAAGACTGGGAAGAGAAAGAAATTTGTACTGGGGTGAGTGACGGTCAAAAATAAGGAGAGGGGCTGGGATGGGGGCCCCCTTCCTCCCCCCCACCCTACCGTCGACTCTTACTCCTGAATTAAACATGGCTGGTTAAATGAATGATCGAGCGCTGCTTAACGTTAACTAGCCTTAATAAGACACCAGCGCTTTTGTTTCATTAGATGGAAGATGAATTATTACCAACAAAAGACTGAAGAAATCCCAGACACTTTGTGAGCAAAGTTTCTAAGTTTCTGTCTTAATCTGATTCACTCACAATATATTGCAATATATTGCAGAGTTACCATGATTCGAGAATGAAGTAGGCAACACAAAGTTACGTCATCAAACTTCCGCGATAATTTGCAAGAGTCGGTGACATCAAAACACTTAACCATGCTGAGGTAAGTTCTGGCACGAGAAACTAGCCTGGAGTAGGTCCTCACTGGTAGCGCTGCAGGACGCGCGTTGATCAGCCCGCGGGAAGATTGGAGACAAGCCGGGGGGAGGTTTGCTATTTCAATGCATTGACTGTTATGCAACGAGACGAGGGAGTCCGATTTGGGAGTTTGAGACAAACGAAAACAAATACCAATGATCACCACCCTTCGAAAATGTCTTTGTCCTCTTATTTAAGTTGGTAAAGGTAACCGTTTTTTTTTATGCGAGTCCAGTCCTCAGTAATGCAAAATTTATCCTCTGGTTCTTTTAGTCTGGACATTAATTCGTAGTCTGGAACTCTCCTTAAAGTACAAGGTTCGTCAAAATATTGGTTCAAATTATCGAATTCAACACAGTGTGTCTCACCTGATATAAAGCTCAGTATACATCTACTCAAGCGGATGTTTTGCGGCTTCAAAAAAAGCATCAGCTTGGTTGGTTAGTCTTGACAGGTAAGATCAAAAATCAACACGGAAAGCTTCAAAAACGTTCGGATATTTCGAATGACTCGCGTTCGACCAAACGTTTCCTTCACATTGTAAATTCAAACTGAAATAACACGTGATAATTTTCAGGCTCGTTTAACGCCCTGAGAGATCGAATGTTTGACGCCTTCATACCGACATTCCACAATGCATGGAGGGTGGTGTGGGTGAACTCGTGAAAAAATCAGAGTGGCTGTGGGACACTGAATTCGAATTAATGAGAGGCTGGGACCCGGGGGGTACTCGATATATTCCTGGGTGGGGAGGTGCGGCGCGGCCCCCCATACCCTGACCCTGTTTAAGACAAATATCGCTGATTTTCCTACCCTGTTTAAGACAGAGTTCCGACTTTTGATACCCTGTTTAAGACATTTAATGTGCCTGGTATCAAGGCGAAAATCAACGGAATTCAATATTAATTACAATTAGAGCTTGTAAAAATTTTGCTGTTTATCTTCCAAGAAAAGATATCCTGTTTAAGACAAAAATTGATAAATCGATACCTGATTAAGACAAAAAATGATAAATTCTATTTCCTATTTAAGACAAAAATCTCGAAAAACATACCCTGGCTGGCCGCACGTCCCCATTCAGCCCTTATAAGGGAGTACCCCCCTCCCCCGGGGGCTGGGAATGGACTTTTCGTATTAATTTGTAGCTCAGGGGGGTCCATATTTATACTTTTCTTTTTACAAGCACTCGTACACTTTTAAAAAAGGTTTATTAAAGACGTATTTTAAAAATGAGAAGATTATATTGTTTAGATAAACGTGGTCCGTATTGTTACACCTTCCAAGTTGTTTAGTAATTTTCTACCGAAGTCGAGTATGTGCAGATTCGGCTGCGGAAACTCAAACTAATCAGTCACAGTGGTAAAGCGATGGTTCAAGTCAGACGATTCGAATTCCACAGGTTGAGTGGGAAAAAAATAACAGCGTTTAGTATCACAGTAATATCAGCTGGTTGGTAGTATTTAGCGCAGGTCTTGTGGGCCAATCACAGACAATTGTATTCTGAATTGTCGATTCAGTTGTCGGTTCGAACTGACACATGCATTACAACACTTACTAACTTTCTAAACATGCTTACTAAACATGGATTTGAAATGTATAGAGTATAGATTACTGAGCATAGAATATACGGAAAGAGTACCATCTACTAGTCCGAATGCATAATTAACGTATGGAGTTATATGGTACTCTTGCCGAAGGTACTTTACGGTTCACCTATTTCTAAATGTCAAATTGATAAACTTTAACATGAGGTCAACTCAAATTTTGAACGATGACATTCGAATGTATATTGATGTTCTAACTAATAACTGAAAGCAACTTCATAACATTAACACTATTGACCCTAAACGAATAGTACTATAGTTCTCACAGAACTTTAACAATTAGGAAAGATCACTTACTTTGGTTACACTTGCACCAAGTTGCGATTGAAGACACACAGAACAATATAATTATCCTCGTAGGATAAAGTCCACACAAACAGCTATAACTAACTAAATTGCCTTCCAAAGCGGCTAGATTTATGGAACAATGGAACGTGATAAGAATGCATTTGCGTAACGATGAATCATTTCCTAACGGAAGGCTCCATCCAAACGCACAGGATAAACAATCGAGAGTCATGCTCAAGGAGTGGCGAAACAATAGTCTTAGATCCACCTTTGTCACCTGATTACATATGATGGCAAACCGCTAAGGGTCACGTGACAACAATCAGGTTGACCGCTAAATACAGGTTCTACAAGATAGGAGTCAAACGCGTAAAAATCCTTATTTTATACTATAATTGATTACTTGATGCACAGTTTATAAAAAGGCTCGCTCAAAAATGCATCGGCTCTTGGTTAATGAACGACATCAACGAAATGGTGGCGTAACGAAAAAACACAACAATGAAGCAGAATTACCGTTTACTGATTATGTAACAGTTGGACCTCAATACAATACAATACAATATTCTTTATATTGTATTGTATTGCATTGTATTGCATTGAGGTCCAACTGTTACATAAGTTGGACCTCAATACAGTACAATACAAAGAATATTGTATTGTACTGAGGTCCAACTGTTACATAATCACTGAACGGTCAACAATTGACGCGAAAAGGCTTGCGTGATGTTCGTGCGTAATATTTGTCCCAACAGTCTTAAGAACAAAGATAATTTGCAACGCGTTGAGGACATTTGTACTCAAATCACACACATTCCGGGAGATAATCACGGAATACAGGGAGACTACCGGTATTCCTAGTTTTATTTGAATGGTTCTGCTCTTAGTGACCGTTTCGAGTTAATACGGGGTGACCGTCATTGCGGTTCGTCGGCTTCATAAAGGCTCGACTTTACCTTGTAGCTAACATCAAAGGTTTCAAATTTTTACGTGACTGCGCGTTTCAGAATTAACATACGTCACCCACGGCGGTCTATGGATCTCTAAGTAACTTTTGAACACTTTTGCGGGATATGGCAGCGATTACAAAGTGAAGCCTGGGCGTAAAGGTTACAAAATACCAGTGAGTCAGTCTGTAAGAGAGCAAGCCAATATGTTAGTCAGCCAGGCCCGTCAATGAGTCAGTCAGTCAGTCAGCCAGTAAGTCAGCCGGTCCGTCAGCCAGCCAGCTAGCTAGTCGATAAGCCGGTTAGTCAGCCGTTTAAACAGACGTGTACGGTCAATCGGTCAACAAAATGGCCAGTCAGTCGTACAATGTCAGAATTACTTTGCGCTGCAATCAGTTCTCGTTCACCCTAAAACTGTGACTTGAACATTTCATCTAAAGTTCTCCTTGACATTACTTTTTATTCGCTCCTTCTACATATTCTACTGCTACATAGTATACCTAACCACAGAGGAAGCGGTATGGCTGAGTTACTGATGGCACTGGACTTCATTTCTGTCGGTCCCAGGTTCAGGTTCTAGACTTCTCCGAAGTCCAAAGTCCAACTCCTTATCTGCTCTTTGTAAAGAGCCAACCCGTCTACCTCTTGCCGGTGAAGACATTTCCAATTTACGCTACTCATTTGTTTACCGTGTCAAAATTTGCGCTACAGTCTTTAGTTCGCCGACACTTGAATAACCGGGCTGTTTATATTAGTTAGGGAGACCCTTTGGCATTTCTCGCGATGCATTTCTAGCGATGCATTCCTAGGTATCGTTCAAATTCACTTCAAACACAATCTGCTTTTGTCCAAACGGTCTCTTTATGGTCTTCTATATCCTTTGTTTCTTTATATTTTATTTTATCATGAAAACATTCAGTTTTACGATGAAATCAATGATGATTTTCGTTTTAATTTTATCATCGTGTTCTAGCTAAGTTCTTGTACTCTGCACAGCACTTCGGGTTTCAGGAAGATATTCTCGTCCACTTGACCTTGTGCCGCTGCGATTTCTTTCATAATAACTGGGTCCCACTTGAAGTTCACCAAAGCAGCTGGAACCTGCATAATAACAACACCTTCGTAAAAATCATCTAAGTAAGAAAGATGGTTCATTTAAAATCACGGTCTCCTAATAAAGAAAGATTTTGTTTACTTCTCCCGCATGGTAAAGAAAATTCTCAGTTCCCAATGAAAAGGAGGGAGATTAAATAATGTTAAACGTTTCCTAATATCTTTTCTCTTTCTCTCTCTGCTTTTATCCTTTCTTGTCTTTTAAAAGCGCTTTCTTCGAGTCCCCAGCTTTGCGCCTGGTTCAATGAAAGAGAATATAAAGAAGTGAAAAAATTCCTCCCTCCTTTGTTCCTATGAATAGAGCAAAGAGCTTAAAATGTAGATTTAATCAACGTGAATCTTACGGAAGTGCCTTTTCTTACTTACCAAGCCCAAGTCGACCAGGGTAGCCTTTTCATCTTTCAACTGTCTACCAGCCTCGAAGATAAGAAAAGGCTGCCACTCGGACACAAGGGACTGCCGAACAAACTCGAAAACATCCCCTAGGTTTTCTCGGGAATAAAATGTTCCTGTAGACAAGAGAACAAGAAGTATAAAATAAATTTGAAGTTGAAAAAGGAAAACCTGTGGGTTATGCGTTGAACAACATTCAAATTACGCACCTTGGAGAATGACCCCATCAGGAAAACGTATCCGTACCAAAGTGAAACGGTAAGTCTTGGATGGGCGTTTCTCTGCTTCACGCATGGCTCGAGTTCTGAGCTGAGAATTTCTCTCTACCTCCTCCGTTCTAGAACACAATAAAACAAGAGAAAACAGCATAACATCTAGACAGTAACGCAGCTCGTAATGTGCCGATCACTTCCAAGCTTCAACACCCCCCCTCCCACCCGTGGGCATTTGACTGACGTCCGTGCCCGGGGGAAGTGGGAGGTTTGAACCTTGCCTGGGTGATGTGGGGACATTCAACCAGACTGTCCAGTCTTTTCAGCATAGAAAGTTCGCTTTCGTGAGCAGATGTCTCGGAGTAAAAGATCTATAAGAAAGTCACGGTTGTCAAATCCGACACTTGGGTGAGGCATTTGAAGACAATTTTAACCCGAGAAGGGATGGGGGAGAGTTTAAACAAACCGATCTTCAAAAGTTCAAGGGCACTGGGGGTTACCTGGGGGGTGATATTGAAGCTTCCAATTGATCTACGTATTAAGTTAATGAAAATATTCTTGCTTTTGATTGCATTCAAATACTGGTTCATGTAAGAAATTATCTGAACACTCGGTTCATTCAATAATCGATACATGTAGTTCTGATAACAGCTGTGTTGCCCGTTCTCAGCCTGACAAACAATCAACGAATTATCTAGTTTTATCAACAACAGGCAACCAGATGACTACATTCTCAAAGGATTAGTGAATTTGATGCTCACCTTGCTATTTGTTCACTTTTGACCTCTTCAGCTGTCTTGTTATAGAAATCCCAGGGGACCTCAAAATGACTTGCTTGGCTGCTTGGCTTGTAAACCTACAACACCAAACAAACAAACTTACTAAAAAACAAACTAACAAATAAAGAAAAAAAGGTAAAAAAACCAATAAAGGGACCGAGGAGGGTATGTTGTTAGGCCATCATTAAAACCTCACAGAAATTGTTTGACTCAATTCAAGACATTTTTTTCTTTTGATATCTCTTTACCTGTAACTAGATTTTTTTTTTACATAATAATTCATAATCACCAAATGTGATTTGTAATTAAGTCACTGCTCCATATTTTCAACTCATATTCATGTAGAGCTAAAATCTTGTGCATCATACACATGTATGTTCAGCTGTCATGCAAACAAACTGCATATTTTTGCCAAAACAGAGCTCATTGTTAATCTTTTGATCTCTTGGAGTGACTGGCATCCAATTTCCTCTTCAAATATCACCCTTAAATCACGCACTAAGGTCACGAGATTAAAGAAAATGATCACCAGCTAGAGAAGCTGTTGATTGTTTTCAAATTTTCCTTGTCAGCACTTTGGGAAATATAACAAGAACAGTATGGAGAATACCTATACTGATGTAAGGGTGTTGAGGGTAAACATGGTTAAGGAAACAACATACCTTTAAGCAACGATCAAGTTTTGCCTTCAAAGCTTGAGTTGACGTTAACACTTCCTTATACACATTTAATCGTTCACAGTCACAACACTCGTCCTTTGGCAAAACAAAAAACTTTTCTTCTGAATCTGCTGAAGGAGAAATATTGAAAAATATTGCACAGTTTATAAAAATGTTAAAAAAGAACTGCATCACATGTACTATCCTCTCTCTTGCTGATCAGAAAGTGTAACATGACCACTGACCCAGTAAGTTATATCACTCACTCAAAACTCAAAATTAGCTGAATGCACAGTAGGTGGTTGGGAAAAGGACTCTATCCCAGCTTCTTTGAGTCACAGGTCTGTTTTACAGGTTGATTTGGTAATAACTGCTAAGTTGAAATTGTAAATTGGCCCCCATAAAGAGTTAAAAAGCTGACGTTTTGAGCGTTTGTCCATCGTCAGAGTGAAGGGCTAACACTCAAAACGTTGGCTTTTTAACTCTTTATGGTCGCCAATTTACTATTTCAACTTGGTTGACATTACCAAATTACCTTGTTACTCCCACTGATGCAGCACCACAGTTTCTTTAGAAACTTACCCCCTTTATTCATTTGTTTTAAAAATTGATTAACAGTTTGTCTTAAGAAATCCTTAATAATTTTTTTTTACCTTCTACTAAGAGAACTTTGTCTTCAAATCCACAAGCAAGAAGGAATTCAGTGGCACCTTTGATAGGCACTACACGTTCCTAAATAAACACAATCAAATACAACATCAAAGGAAGGAACTTTAAGACACTTTATTACACGACTCAGGCAGTCAGAGGGCCAATAACTAAAATCAACCAATCAAAATGCTCTATTGCCGGTCAATAATTATTCTCTCAGTATTGGACCGGGCACTGTCCTGAATGGTCCCAAATGATACCGCACTTGTGTCCCTTTGAACTTCAGTCGTATAATAAATCTCTTATTAACCAAGCATGCTCGGGACCGGACTGGAAGAATATCGGCGCTTGGTCCGTACTGTCAAGACCTCGGGCCGATATTCACCCAGTACGGCCCTCGCGCTTGGTTAATAAGATATATGTATTTACATGATTGGGAGTAGAGAACATCATATCGCATTGCCCTAAATAATAGACAACATCGCACCAGTTATATTGCACTGAGATAAAAGGTATGAAATATATGCAACTTATAAATTCAAAATATATCTATTTAGAAATACCTGGAATATTTTGTTGCTTTGCTTTATCTTTCTATATTTTTCCTCTTCTGGATTCTTGCAGATATTATCAAGGTATCTAGAGCATGATTCATGGAAAATAATCATCATCATGATCCATGTTTGAATTAACATTTAAATATAAAATTAAATCTAATAAAAATAATTAATTCAACTCATTTAGTTCAGTTGACTTTCAAACTTGTTTAAAGTAAATATGAAACAAAAACAAATCCATACCTACAGATTAGGTCAATGCAGGCTTTAACCTTTTCTTTGTCCTTGTTCAGGGTGTGTATCATGGAACAGGAGGTTGTCAATGGCTCACCAGGATATTGCTAAAGAAGAGAAAGGACTTTTACCATGATATAAGTATATACAGGACTCACCAATTGATCTACCTCTGAGGTAGATTATTCAGGCAGTCAGTCATTCAATCTGTCCCTCTTTAGTTAGACAGTCTTTCTATCTACATTACTACCCATTAATCAACCAATCAAGTGACAGGGCTTGACACTAATGGTAGCCAACTAGCCACAGACTAGTAGAAATTCAGTTTTGGCCAGCGGTTCTTGATTTCCACTGGCCAGTTTGGCTGGTAAACAAACTGAAATTGTTGTAACATCTACGTTGTCGCAAACCACTTGGCTAGCAGATTGAAAAGTTAGTGTTGAGTCCTGAAGTGATAGATTAATTGGCTAATGTCAGTTGTCTTTAGGTCATCAGTAAGTCAGTCAATCAGTCAAGATGATTAACTTGGTTTTTTCAACTGAGTTGATACAGTAAATAAACCACTGTAAAGAATTTATAAAGTTGATGCTTTGAGAGATAGCCCTTTGTCAGAGTAAATCATGAAGGTAACTTCAGTTGGTAATATCAACTAAGTTGAAATTGTAAATTGGCCACCGTAAAGAGTTAAAAAACGGATGTTTCGAGCATTTTACATTTGGGCCACCGTAAAGAGTTAAAAAGCTGACGTTTCAAGCGTTAGCCCTTCGTCAGAGCGAAAGGCGAAGGGCTAATACTCGAAACGTCAGCTTTTTAACTTTACAGTGGCCAATTTACAATTTCAACTTAGTTGATAGAACCAAATTACCTTCAGTTGTTACCACCACCGACACAGCACCACAGTTTCTTTAGAAACTTACCCCCTTTAAATCATGAAGGGCAGCAATGAAGAGATAATGCTAGAAATGTCACCTGTGGAACTCTTTACAGTGGTCAATATAAGTTATCAATTCAGTTGATATAACCAAGCTATCTAGTAATTCTCCTAATGACACAGCAAAACAGTTCCTTCAGAAACTTGCACATATATATCTTCTTCCTTAATTAGTCAATCAGTAATAAGAACTGTTATTAGATTTGTCATTCAGTTGTCCAGGCATACAGTCAGTTCAACAATCAATTAGTCCGTTAGTCAATCAGTAAGTAAACCAACAGTACTATAATTCTGTACTGAAATAAAATACCTTAGAGAGACATTCCCACAAATGTGTATCTAGTTCATTTTTTAACACTGTAACTGGACACACTGGGCAAATAAAATACACTCCTTCTTGAGACAGCACTGTTGAACATTCTACATGCGTTGGCTGGGGAAGTAATAAGACAGATTCAAGGGTAAACCTACAAATAAGAACTAAACTGCTAGATGGTGTTAATTATTAACTTGGTTAACCCTATAAACCCAAAGAGTGATCAGAATCTAATATCGCCTCAGAATAACACAGCTGAATCTTTCATTAAGATCAGGCCCCCGTTGTTCGAAGGATGGGTAACGCTATAACACTGGATACATCTCTATCCAGTGGATAGCGTAGTACATTTTGGTAACACTTATCCGCTGGATACTGGGCTGGAGGAATTATGTGGCAATGCAAAAGCGCATAATTTTAGCTCAAATGCATAATTGGCATAATCCTGTAAAAAGCGCATAATTTACCCATAATTCTCAATATTTCAAAAAACTGTGTCCTAAAAGATAAATTTTCCTAGCTTCAAAACTTTTTAAAATAGTTTTTTCACATTGTAGTGAATTTTGATGGCAAAAACTGTATTAATTTTTTTCATCGAAAAGATCATGTCAAATACGCAGGAAAACAAGTAAAATCGAACAGGCCTCCTGTCTTTTGCTGCTGGAGACCTAAGCTCTAATTGTTGACTTACAAGCAATATGATTGGAGGAAAAAGAACCAATCAATGCTTCCAAAAGAAAAATGGGGCCATTTTGGTAAATTTATTCCAGAAACTTTCTTTTCTGTTTTTTTCGTGTTTAAAATGGAAAGTTTTTTCAAACCAAAAAAAAAACAATTACAATATAATGGCCAAAGAGAGAGTTAAGCAATTTCCTGGCAAATAATTATTAATAATTAGGTTTTCTTAATATGGAATTAGATATAAATTTAAAATATATGTAAACTTCAATACTTTTAATATTGTGCAACTTGCATAATTTGCTAAATTTGGCGCATAATCACAGAAAAAATGGTGCATAATTTCTCATATAATAATATACATGAAAAAATTGCTCAGTTCTGATTGGTTAAGATGAATGCAGTTTTCAATTAATTCAGTGCAGAAGAGAGTTAATTCAGTGCAGAAGAGGGTTAATTGAGTGCAAAGAAAGAAACAAACCGAACACTCTGATTGGTCAGAATGATTGGTCAATGTCGATGTCAATGTCAATGTCAGGGTCAATGTCAAGGTCAATGTCACTTGCAGGGTTTGAATAAATTATTTCTGCACATGATGCCCACTCTTTTCTTCTGCGTAGTTATCAGAAGCTACCTCGTATTTTTTCATGTATATTATTAATACATAATCACACGATTTTTTCGTGCAATTTGGAATAAATATGCACTTGTAAATTTTTTCAAAGACCACAAATTGCACTCGCCCTACGGGCTCATGCAATTTTGTTAGTCTTTGAAAAAATTTACTTGTGTTTATTTATTCCAAATTGCACTTGAAATCATGTGTTTACCTCTACAAATAGTGCATAATTCCCCCAGCGTTATCCGCCCTATGAGCAACCAGAGCTAGGAGAATAGAGAAAATTATTTTCAAGCGAAGAAGCTTGGATTATTAAACAAATTCTCCCTGTCAGGACCAAAGGGAATGTATAGAGAACAGTATGGAGAATATGGATTCCGATGTTAGGGTGTAAATGGTTCTCTCAACTTACTAATCAGGGCTCGACACTTAACCGTAGCCAACTAGCCAAAGACTAATAGAAATTCAGTTTTGGCTAGCGTTTTTTTTTTTATTTTCATGAGCCAGTTTGGCTAGTGAACAAAGTGAAATTGTTGTGACATCTAAATTGTCACTAGCCTCTTGGTTGCTAAGTTGAAGAGATAGTGTCGAGCCCTGCTAATGCTTTTCTCTTGTTCCTGTTTCAAAGATCTACTAACTAAAATAATTTTTCAACCAAAGAAATGCATACTATATAACAGTATTCATTAAAGCTAACCAATAATTCCGAAACAAAAAACAACAAAAATAACAACAACATTTCAATTAGGCCTAGACTTTCCAATAGGACCCCTGCCTCTTAACCATGAAAATCAAGGCTCATGAGAGCCATTAAAGTTTCCTGGAAATTTCATAAAAGGTATTATGGTGCCAAACCCACCTCAGCAGTAGATTGAACCTCTCTCTGAACATCTCTTTGTTTGCAGGCTTCTTGATATGCCAACTCCTGTCTCACTGAAAAGATACAAATTGATATGTACATTTATGGGTAATTGTGAAGAACAACTAACCTCCTAGCTGTCTAAATAGTTCAAATTTTTGTAAAGGCCAGCTGGTAACCTGTCAGTTGCCTCAGTTGAATACAGAAGGTTATGTCTGCACTCCAGCCAGGTGGCTTATCTAGCCAGAGCTTATCACGGTTTCTGTAGCATAAGCAACAAGAAGTATTGCTTCATTCTGAGCATGTAATGCTGCTTCAATGTAGGTAGCCCTCAGGCATTTCATCAGCTTTTCCTGACATTTCAGCTAAACCCATTTATATTCCTGGGTGGATCAAGAGAGGCACTGTGGAAGTTAGGTGTCTCGTCCAAAAACACAATCCAAGGACCCTGTTACGTCTCAAACCCCAGAGTTCACAAATCCCAACCCCTCCACCTGGAATCCAAGAGTTAACTGTTAATTCAGTGCTATAAATCTTACTGAATATCAAAAAAAGTAATCTTAAACCTTCTCTTTTCAGCTGATTCAGTTTCAGTGCTGCTCCTGTACCACTACTGCTTTGAGATGTCTCTGCTGGCCCACTGTGTTTCCAAGTAGCTGTGGCAGACTTTGGCTTCTTCACAGCACTTTTTTCATGAACTGAAAACCTTTCTAAAGCAGCCTGAGTGAAAATGAAGAAACTCCTGGTACATTGCAATATTTCAATTCACATATAATTTATATGTGTTTGATTTATGTACATAACTAGATGGGCTTAGTTTTAATCAAAATTCCCAGCTGGGTCCTTGTAACCTGACAACTGTGTGTCTCATAATAACACATCTTTGGCTAAGTCATAAGTTACAAGGAGCAAAAATTAACTTCAGTACAAGAAAACCAAATAAGACTGGTTTTGCTGATATAAAACAAGGACAAAAGGGAAAGAATAAACTGAAAACGGACACGGTCTGTCGTTGATAAACAATATAAAGCACAGATTGCTCTTGACAAATTTTCTCCTTGGACTAACCTACAGTAAATCATCCACAAAATTCTGACAAAGTATATCACCGATTTTGTAGATTCTGTATTAACCTCTAAATATATCTTATTAACCAAGCACGAGGGAAGTACTGGGAGAATATCGGTCTGAGGTCTTGACAGTAGGGACCTCGCTGCGCTCGGTCCGTACAAAAAAGCAAGCTTGGTTAATAAGAGATTTATTACACGACTGAAGTTCAAAAGGACACAAGTGCGGTATCATTCGGGATCATTCGGAACTGTGCCCAGTCCAATACTGAGAGAATATTGACCGGCAATGGAGCATTTTGATTGGTTGATTTTAGTTATTGGCCCTCTGACTGCCCGAGTTGTGTAATAATATTCTGTATTAACCATTGAAAAAAAAAAAAAACAGAATAAATGAAGTCTCAGACCAGGTTAATTCCTGAAATCTTAAGAACAGACTGGTTGTCCAAGAAGGTAAATCTGAAGCGATGATTTTGAGGACTAAGCCCTTCATGGGTCAGGTATGAAACCTCTGAAGTGGGGTGAGGACATCATTCGGTATGTAACCTCCTCTGTGTGCCTCAGAGTTACAATCAATGACAAATTATCTTAGTCTCAGCATATCGAATTAACTTGTTCTTAACTTCGCAAAAAATTTAAAATGCTGAGATGTATAAGTTTTCTACCCAAATCTATTTTAGAAACTATTTACTTTACAACAGTAATCCCAAGTGTCTTCCATGGAATTGTGATATAAGGGTCTGGAACTAAGCTTAAAGAGCTAGAAATGATACATATTCAAGCTGCTAGACTGATACATAAGTTACCAAAATGTACATGTATGAAGGATGATGATATATTAGCAAGATCTGGGTGGATGCCTCTTGAGTATTTCTAAAAGTTTCGTATCTTAACTATTATTCACATAGCATTTTATGGCTTGGGCTTAAATGAAGTAAATTCTTTGGTCATTAAGTGCTCTAATAATTATAATCTTAGAAAATTGCTTAATATTTTAATTGATAGACCCAATACTGAACTTGGCTGTAGTTTATTTGCACACAGGGCAGCAATTGTCTGGAATTCCTTGCAAGATAAAGACACTTTTCTAATCCAAATGCTTTTAAAAATAGGCGTAAAAAGGTAAAAAATGATGTTGTAAATATTTTGGAAAGGGGAGTGGCTCTGTTTTTTATAATAAAAATTCAAATTTCTACTATTTCTGATATACTGTATTATGACACATTTATATTCATATTCATTCTGTTTCTTATTTAACACTCTACTCTAGATTTATTTATCTTTACGTAGATAATACAGTAGGTCTACATCAGCAGTAAAGTTGCCAATTTTTTAACATACTTATGAAATAAAGATATGTATGTACGTATGTATGTACGTACATGTAAGGCACGATTGAGCAAACGAATGAGTGAGTCAGTGAGTAAGTCAAGACCAAATGTCTGTCTTCCCTTCACCAAAGAGCTATTTTATTCTCCAACCCCTCAAGTACAAAATGACCACAAATTTCTTTACTCACCTGCCCAGCTCTTTGTGCATCTGAGCTTGGGGCTGCTCGCGGCACGGCAGGCGCTGAGGAAGTTGCTTGCTGTTGAGAGGCTGTGCTGCTGTTACCTGTTAAGGCATGGCCCTCACCTGCTTTCTTGAACTTGTAATCTAAGTTGGCTTTTTCTAAAAGCTTTTTCATTTTCAAATCATTGTTTTTCGGGCAGTCCTCATACTAAAAGACTGTACCTGTTAGATGGAAACAATACAACAGTGGATTGAAATTAAATGATTCAACAATTTATATACAGTGTTAAGTCTTTGTATAAAATGAACAGAATTTTTCGCCATTTTTGCTGTAGCAATCAATGAAAATATAGAGGATAACACAATAAATTGCGTTTACATAATTATTCAAGGAACGAAACCTGTAAATTTAATCAAAGGTTTGAATTTCTAAGCTTTACTTCCAAGAAATGGTTCAAGTGGTGCGGTTCAGGTATGAAATAATGTGGAAGGTTACGATAAACGTTCTACGCTATGTTAAGCATACGAGCATACAGACCTCTTACTTTGAAACTACAGAGGACTTTCAGTTTCCTATCCGATGTTACACCGGCTCGTCACCTTCCACCTTGGCTCAATATTGACAGCTCAACCTCAACTTCCAAAATACCAGCGGTCAATGGTAAGCATGCGTAATAAAGCTTTTCCCAGTACCCCTCATTTTACAGAGAGCCAAGATGGCGGACCAGAAAGGCTCGGATGTTCTGAATCAAGCAGACAGTATGTGGAAAATGTTGGATGATCTGGCAGATTCAGATCCTGAAGCATACAAGAGGTTTATTGATAAGACTTTGAAGGAGGGATCTACCTATTTCAAGCCGCCAGAATCCTGTTTTTGTATCTGTACTACTTTGGTAAGCAAACATTAAAAATTGCGAGTACTGAAACCGCCAAAAAGTGAATTATTTACATTTAAATGCCATGATGTGAGATAGCTTAAGTTATGATGTTCATTACGTTTTCTTAAATTTTGACTATTTTTACTGCTCTTATCTGTACAATTTCTTGAAATTCACGCTGTATCAGCCGCCTCTTAGGTATAAATTTACACACCATCACCATCAACCTTTCAGCCTCTGAGACTGATGAGCATCTGATTTGTCCTGACAGTATCATAGCTGAATCAAACACAAAATTCACGAGAATTAAGGAAGTGATCATTAACTCAAGAATCCTTTGATTGTCAAACAAATTCTGCCAGTCAGTGCCATTGAAAATATACACTATAGAGAACAGTCTGGAGAAGATCTACATTGATCATGAAGAGTAAAGGGTTTAAAGTAAAATATTCCTCTATTTGCTCCGACGAAGGGCTAACTCTCCAAAAATCAGCTTTTGTAACCATAACGGTGGCCAATTTACCATTTCAACTTTGTTGATATATTCAAATTATTTTGTTACCGATACCGACGCAGCGCCAAACAGTTTCTTTAGAAACTATCAGCCTTAATTCAGAAGTTATTAGTCAGTTATGGTGAAGCTATCATCAACCTTTTTTCTTCATCTTATATTAATCTTTGAAGGAGTTTGAGATAATTTTTTTTTAAATTGCAGCTTCCCAAAGTGATCACTCGTGAGCTGTTTGTGAACATCTGTAGCTGGGAACAGATGCTTGCCCCAAAATCTGAGAATGACCCCATTCCTGTTATGGCTGGTGAAATGCAGGATGTCAAGGATGGACAGTCGACATATTCAGTGGTTGATGTAATAGTTCATCCTGCAGTCACGAAGGGTGTTCTAAACAGTAAAGATCGTAAGAACCTCCTAGTTCATGTTGCTCTGGACTATTTAGAGAATGCCAAACAGATTCAAGTTTCAAGAAAGTACAAAAACTTTAAAATGTCTTTTAAGGGGGATCCAAAAGCCTTGCGAAAATATTTGCGACATGGTAGAGAACAAGCATTGAATCCCACCAACTCTGAGAAACCAGGAAAAGGAGTTTTGGAGAGTCCAGAATCTCTTTTAAGACAACTTTCATCAATAACAGTAACTGAAAACCAACAAGATGGAAATGTTCCAATAGATTTATTTGAGCGATCAGCAGAAAAACCAAAAAAAGGCCTCATCGAGGAAGTGTCATCCACCAACACTGTGCCGCAGCCAGTAACACCAGTGACACCAAGTTATGAAGTTTTGGAGAAGGATGCAGAAGATTCCAGGCCAAAAAGGATTGTTGTCAAAGTTAACTTACCAAATATCACTTCATCTTCACAGTGTCAACTAGATGTGTGTGAGGTTTGGATTAAATACATGTACTCCTGTTTGAGAGGGGGTTTCGAGGGTACTCCCTCCTCTCCCCCCTCCCTTCTTATGTTTGCAGTTTGGGTTGTAGTTCTATCTTTCTTGCAGTAATTGAATGTACCAGTAGAGGCCAAAAGGTACAACAAATTTATTTGATGATGTTTTGTAAGATGTTTGAACTTTGAACACAAGAAGTGGCTGATGTATTTCTTCCAAAAATATACCTCAAATTGATTTTGTATCAAAAATTGACACAACTACCTTCAATCTTTTTATTCTTTTGTAATTACTGCACATTTACTCATACAATTTTTTCTCTTTCCAATTGCAGCCTTTAAATTGCCAACTATGTAAAAAAAAAAAAAGTTATGAAATAATTTTTTTAGTCCAATTTTTCCCCTTTTTTTTCTTAGACTGCATTGTTACTAGATGCCCCTGGAGTGTACAACCTTCACATCAAGCTACCCCAGATAATTGACCCTGAAAGAACTGAAGCCACTTTCAACACCAACTCACACAAATTAATTGTGAAACTTCCAATTCAATCTTAATCTGGACATTTGTTTTTTACAGATTTCACACTTCAAACACATATGTGTACAGTGTTCTGTTGTGCATACAGGTACATGAGTTTATTTTCTGATTTTATTGGTGATCAGTTTTTTGCCCATTGCATGGAAGACATTTTTTCCACTCTCTTTGGGATGCTGTAGATTTTTAGGGGTGTCTTCTGGAAAATTGGTTCTGTGCACATTGCTTGTTGTGAAACCTTGGCAAAGTACACATCACTAAAAAGCTGATAAAATTTAGAATCTGTGGAAATAAAAAAAAAAAAGACTTGTAACAATTTTTTCTAAAAGTGACCTTACCGTCACAAAATAACAAAACGTTTTTGATTGCACAAAATATTTAAATTGGTAATTGGGGTCCACGGTTACTGAGAAAAAGCCAAGGAACAGCTTACGTTTAAAAGAATTATAACACTTTTAGCTATTTATTAACTATTCTCAAAAACTGTTTTTCCTTGACGTCACGCTATCATTTAACAATTTTCAGATTATTTTCTACACCAAACTACAAATGAATGTTTCAGCTAGAGAATGAGCAAAAACAAAATTTTTGCAAAATTTGGTCTCTGAAGGTTAACTTAATTACATTGACGCTGTAACGACCAGAATTTGTATTTCTTTTTATTGGCAAGCAAATGCGAAGTAATTCTATATTCTTCTTCTTTCTATTGTAGTACTATTGTAGTACTATTGTAAAGTTTTTTTTCTATTCAATTTAGTTCGAGTTTTTGCGTGAGGTTATGTAAGATTACGTAACGCCGGTAACTATTTCTTTTCCCCTGTATGCCCGTTGTTTTCGTTAAATAATTTTTGTTGCTAGTTGATTTCAACAATGTCAGTCGTTTCGTTAGTTTTTGCCAGCGCCGTGTTGCTTTTATTTAAGAGCTTTACTGCCGGACCTGGTCACGCCACAAGTTATATGTTCGTTTTTATTTCTTTTCAGTTTTCTGTCGTTGTTCTTGTTGGTATATTTTGTATTTAGATATTTGTATTAATTACTTATTTAAGCCGAATCACACTCATATCTACAAATCTTTACATCTAAACAGACGTCCATCTGGCAAATAAATTCAATGTGCATTCGCTTCGTTGCGTTGGACGTGTAGTTATTTATCTACAGATGCATTGTTTATGGCAGTCTGTTCTGTGATTTCATAGTACAATTTCTGACAATGACTACATGGAAATGGTAGACCATTCATTGGAGACTTGACAATAGAGCTGAGGCCTTTGTATATGTCTAAGGGTTGGGTGGTATTGAAGGATCTTATTCATCAAAGATTGAAAAAACTTTTGAAAAACAGTATTGTCCATTCCTGACGTGGATTAAGGGAAAATAAACTATAGCTTGACTAGTATTTCTTGTGTGATACAAATTTCAGTCAGCCACGTTCATTTATTTAATCACTTTCACCAGAGTGTGGCGAGGGTCGCACAACAGAACGAGGCTCCAAATTAAGTGCGCCCAATATCCCACCCATCCCACCCCAGGGGAGGACATCCATCACACAGTAATCTCGTGTGTGGGATATTAACGTCTCCTACCTCAACCCTGCAGGAGACGGCACCTCCATTTATTCGTCCCTATCCGAGAAGACTAGAATATCTAACCATTTCTTGATGTTATAGAAAGGTAGCAAATTCTTCTCAATAATTTTAAGACCCTGAGTGTTTGTCCGGCCGGGGCTCGAACCCTTGACCTCCCACACAACAGTCCACCGCTCTATCCATTGAGCTGACCGGGAGGCGGTTCATCTATATTTTCTAGTGTTTTTCTGTTAGTAAATTCGATGTTTAGTCTTCTGAGAGATGTCTATAGTCAACTTTTTGCTAAAACTCCTGTTAGCTCAGCTTGTGGCTGTTTTGGAAGGCCTTTTTGAAAGTGGAGCTACAAGGGGAATGGGATGAAGAAATTGCAGTTGGATTTTTCTTAATTATGTCTTACATGTAAATATATGTTATTGATAAAAATATTAGAAATGCAAACTCGGAGGACAAACTCTTGTATCCCTTACTACCCAAATTGTTCCGCCACATTTCAACTATTATTACGTGCTGGCGTTATCGCGTTGAATACTGGGCCTGTTTCATTACAGAATCCTGCTCAAGAAACACGCAAAAAGTCAAGTAAACAGTCATCAAGAACCCCAGCTACAATCTGCCTGCAGTGTCTGAGAGGCGTCCGGTGTAATCAGAAACGCTTCTTTTGTGTCGTGTGCAAAGATCAAACTGACGCCCGGTGCGCTGGAATCACTAACATTAATTATATCAAATCCACGCAGGCTGAAGAGTGGACTGTCCAAAACGTCTCATTTCAGTAGTGCCTTTCTACGGCCAGGATACCTGGCACGCCTCTATGTCACCCCGTGACGAAGCTGACACAGCCCTTGCCGAAGACCTCCATTTAGAAGCCTTGAAGCGTGACCCGTTCGAAAATTTTGACAAGCCGTTCAGTAGTTTGGGTAACCCGTTCGAAAATTAACACAAGCCGTTCGAAATACTTGATAACCCGTTAAGCCGTTCGATAGCATCCGTTCGAACGGGTGAGTTCCCCCGTTTGTTACCCGTTCGGTAGCCATGCGTTTCACCCGTTTAACGGAAAGACGTTAGTGTTTATTTTTCCGTGAGGGGTCACAAATAACAAACCACTAACTGTCACGCACATAAACACCCAAAGCATGATTTCCACCTTTGATAACTTGCTGCTAGCCGTCGATCGTTACAAGTTCGATGTCATCACTATGAGCGAAACTTGGTTGAAAGAGAACCACCTGTTACTTCAGTACGTTACAATTCCTGGTTACACCCACGCCTTTAATAACAGAGACAAAAAGAGGGGGGGCGGAGGAGTGTATATTAAGGATTCCATCAAATTTAAAAGGCGATCAGATATTGAAAAGAGATATCCCACCGTAGAACACTTGTGGCTGGAGATCCCAGGTCGCAACAAGCACAGTAGACTCCTCCTGGGAACCATCTACCAATCAGAATCCATGGTACCTTATAGCGATTGGATAGTAACATTTGAATCTCTGTTGAGTGATTTAGCAATTCACTTGGGACGGCGCACTGTTCCTGACTGGTGATTTAAATAACGACCTCCAGCGATCTGATATCCCTAAATCCAGGAGTCTGTACCAGTTAGTATCGAAGCCAACGCGTACTACTCAACATTCATCAACCCTCATTGACCATATAATCACGAATATACCTAACCAGGTAACTCACACTGATGCCCTTTCTTCTCTTAAGATCAGTGATCATGACGCACCTTACGTTTGAATCAACTTTCGCATCACTAGATTCGTCCCAAGGGATAAATTTATCCGGAAGAAAAAGAACTTCAACGCTGATGCTTTTATTGAGGACTTTTGAACAGCTGCCCCTAAGTATCATGTATTCAACCGACGATCCTGACATGCATGTTGATCTTTTAAGCTCCCTTATCCGCGAATGCATTGACCGCCACGCGCCCTTAAAACGCACTAAAGTCACACGTCCTCTTGTGCCTTGGATGAAGGACTTGGATATACAACAACTTCAAAACGACTTTCTCTCTCTCTCCAGATAGGCATTTATAGATTATGCTAGCATAATTTTTGGCATAATTCGAGCAAACTGGCATAATAACTGCCGAGTAGCAATGCTAGCATAATTTGCGCATTTTGATAACTATCAGATCATTTTTGATGCCATTATTTGATAATTTTTTGTCTCCAGTCCCAAGCACTTAG